GCCTACAACTTAGCAAAGTATTGTTTGACTTAAACTATTTTGCTAAGGAATACAATGATCTAATGAAATAAGAAGCACATATAATTGTCTTCATTTTCATGATTATTAAAAGAATTATCTCTTATTACTGATTTCCAATTTATTTTTCTTTAATCAAGATACAATTGACAGCCAGACACAGTAGCTCACACCTGTAATCCCAGTGGCTGGGGAAACAGAGGCAGGAGGGTGATGAGTTCAAAGGCAGCCTCAGTAAAAGTGCGGCAATAAGTAACTCAGACCCTGTCTCTAAATTAAAGTGTAAAAAAATAGGGCTGGAGATGTGGCTCAGTGGTCAAGGGCCTCTGAGTTCAATCCCTGGTACAAAAAAGAAAAAAAAAATTGACATAGGGACCACAAATATTCAATGTATAGCTTAATGAAAGGCTACATAGAGTAACTGCCACAAAAGTCAAGGCACAGGATGTCTCCAGCATCTGAGAAAGCTAGCTCATGCACCTGCGGGTCTGTAGCAGCCTCATCTCTTCTACCTCTACCATCATATATCCACAGTCGAAATTTCATGAATGCAACCTTATTTTAGTGGAGTCACACTGTATGCACTCTTTTGTGTATGGCTTCTTTAATTCTAATTATGAGATTCATCCACGATGCTGTGCATATTAGTAGTTTGTTCCTTTTCATTGTTGTTTATTATTCCTTTCTGTGAATTTACTGTACTTTATTCACCCATTTTATTGCTGATGGATGATTGATCAGACCTATTTCTAGGTCTTTGAGGTATGCTAAGTAAAGCTGTTTATAAACAGAAATGACACTTGTTTCTGTTAAGCATATATCTAGGAGTGGAATTCCCAGGTCTTTTATTTTGTTTTTCTTTTGACTTCTTAAGCTCTAGGCCATAATCTAATCTTTCTAAGTTGCCAAGTAAACCAGAATAATATATACCATGTAGGCCTGAGAAACATTCCGGGTGGCAGATCTCATGGCTTAAAGTGGTCCACACCACTTAAGCCACGAGAACACCTTTTGTGGTTCTCTATGCCTCCAGCCATTGGGTTTGTTATCCCTGGTCCATATCGTTAATTTCCTGACAATGTGAGAAAAAAACAAAAAACAAACAAACAAAAAAAAACAGTGTCTTAAAGGGACATCAGAGGACTTCTTTCATGGAGAAAGTATCCTGGTGTAGTGAAGAAGTACTGGCTCAGTGTCTGGGGACTGGGTTTTCCATCCAGCCTAAGTTTCTGTTTTTGGGTGGGAGACTGTGGAGTAAATGGCAGCACCTGCCTGCCTGCCCCTCAGTCAGAAGGTCCGTTTGAATCAGTAATTCCCAGCCTGGCCGCAAATTAAAATGGTCTTGAGGAAACTTTTATTGTTCATTTTTGTTACAAAAATGGTGCATGTTAATGGAAAAAATACCAAATAGTACAAAAGAGTATCAAGTAAGAAGTAAAAATTCCTCCCCTCATAATCTGTTAACTAGACTGATCTCCTGTCCAGAAATTCCTTAGTGTTGCTCTTAACATTTAAAATAAAGATGCCTGGGCCCTACTCCAAACCTAATGAGGTAGAATCTCAAGATCCCAGGAATTTGCAATTTTAAAAACTTTAAGTAATTTTGATAGAGTTTCAGGTTTGAAAATGTATTCCTAAATATATCTGAGATCCCTTTCACTAAAACCTATCCTCCACCCCTCCAAAATGATGTAATATAAGTCTGCCAGCTGCTACCAAGGTTGGTCCTTAGCACAACTAAGAAACAATGGTTTTATTTTGACCTTTTGAAATTCACACCATCTCCTTTCACCTTCAGTTGCTCAATTTTCTCTCATTGTGTACACAGCTCTTCTGCCCCTATAGTGAAAGTATGTTGCTGGAAGGCAGCCATGCATTTCATCAAAACTTTAGCTGCTTTTTTTGATTAATCTCATGAAGCAATCAGTATTGAAGGATTTGCTAGCCACTAAATTTCTTGCTTTGCCAGGTAAACAACTTTAAGCTAAAATGTATTCCCATAATACCCTGAACAAATGACATGGAACTTTAGGGTTCCTTATAGAATATCTAAGAAAATTTTGTCTTCCAAACTTTCAAGTAAAATCCACATATACAAATATTGATCATATCTACCATTTCTAATATTACTCATTTAAATGTCTGAAAAAAGCACAGGATTAAATTAAGTAAATTAATTGACACCAAGGAGTTTCTAGGAATTTAAGTCACAAGTAAAGCGATTGCAATCCTCAATTAGTAGAAGAAGGTTATATTCAATAAATTATCCTGACAAAATTGTACAATAAACAAATAGAGCAATGAACCACTTACAGAAAAAAAAAAAAATTCTAGACATAATTATTGTGATTTAAAAAGGACATATAAAAAGAAAATTAAAATGTACCTTGATAAATTAAAGATTGGGAAGTTAAGAATATACACAATTCAAGACACAATACCAATCATAAAAAATAAAATTATACAATAATTTTATATTAATATATGTAGCATTTATTCTATACATTTAAAGAATGACTTAAAAAAAAAAAAAACCTTTAAAAGATTCATGGCAAGCATGGTGGTACACACCTGTAATCCCAGCGACTCAGAAGGCTGAAGCTGGAGGATCACAGGTTGGAATATTGTAGGTTTGAAACTAGCCTCAGCAATTTAGTGAGATCCTCAGCAGCTTAGCAAGATCCTGTTTCAAAAATAAATAAATACAAAGGACTGAGGATTTAACTCGTGGCAAAGCTCTCCTGGGTTCAACCCCCAGTGACCAGAAAAAATAAAATAAAAAAAATTAAAAATATTCCACCAGGCATGTTGGCACATACCTCTAATCCCAGTTTCTCTGGAGGCTGAGGCAGGAGGATTGCAAGTTTGAGGACAGACTCAGCAATTTACCAAGGCTCTAAGCAACTTAGTGAGACCCTGTCTCAAAGTAAAAAATAAAAAGGACTGGGGATGTGGCTCAGTGGTTCAGCATCCCAGGGTACAATCCCCGTTACAAAAAACAAACAAACAAACAATCCTACTTGAAGAAGGTAACAGGCAATCTACCTCCATTTATTTACAGAAAAATTATTATTCACAGAAAAATGAAAGGGATAGGCATGAAGTAAATTTTTTTAAAAAGGGCAACATTTGGATGACATTCAGATGTCCTGACTTCTAGAGCAGATCACATAATTTCATACAAATAGTATTTTTATGACATTACATGCAGATTGAACACATACATGTGTGGGTACATATGCGTATTATTTAGAGAGGTGGCTAATATTACAGTTAATTATCTTGATGAGAGTATAGAGAACATCGAGTTTATAGGTTCACAATTTCTTAACTTCCTCCATTCTGGGATCTTTGTCTAGAACCCTTGTTTCTATTCTGTAAAACTTGTCTTAGCTCTGGCCTTTCCTGACCAACCTGAGCAGGATAGGATGACTCTTCCTTGCCCCAGCTGTCCCCTATCCATAATCACATCTTTCTTAGCCCTTACCACCTTGATTTGAAATAATCTATGAATATACTGGCCTCTTTTCTTAGGCATTTTGTTTGTTTGTTTGTTGCATTAGGGACTGAACCCAGAGGCACTGCACCATGGAGCCACATCCAGCCCTTTTTATCTTCTGTTTTGAGATAAGGTCTTGCTAAGTTGCTCAAGGCCTCACAAAATTGTTGTGGCTGACCTTGAACTTGAAATCCTCCTGACCTGAACTTGAAATCCTCAGCCTCTTGAACCTCTGGGATTACAGGCATGAGCCAATCTGCCCAGCTTCTCTTACATTTTAATATTACAGGGAGCTTATTCAGTCTCAAAGGAATGTGAGTATGAATATGTTGCTTAAAGCCTCATACAATGTCAGACATATATATATATATATATATATATATATATATATATATATATATATAGGACTGTTCTTCCAATGTCAGATTGGCATTTCAACCACTAAATCCTCTTCTTTCAAACCACCTTATACAAAGTGTATGGTTGAAGAAGTTCCAGTACAATTTAAAAGGCAATATTCCCATTAATTTTTCTAGCTGAACTGTTTAATTAATCTGTAATCTATCTAATTCAGCATTTCCTATTTTTGTGTAGCAGGGAGTCAGGCTGTGAGAGATAGCATTAAGTAAAGATTCTATGTGGGAAACATACTACGCAGTCTAGCAGGGTAGCAAGCAGAGAGGTTTAGCACAAAGGTGCTGGAGGCAAACTGCTGGCATAGGAGTGTAACTATTTTACCTCACTTCAGTTTGCTTCCATTTTCCTCCAAAATGGGACTAATAGAGGTGTTTCTCCCATAGGGCTGTTATCAGGATTTCATGAGCAATCCGCTGAAGGTTTAGTCTTGGTAGAACACTTGTTAAGTGTTAAAAAAAAAACTTACTGATTACTGTTATTTCAGCAAAATTAACTAGTTCTCTTACTTGGCTTGGCTTGGCTTGCTTCCTATAGGACTGCTGAGGGTCTTTCATGTTCTGATGAGCCCGTGAATATCCACAGAAGCCGTATTTCACAAGTCTACTCTGTAGGAGACCACTAGCATGTCCTAAAGTAGTGTGCCTCAGAATATAGTTTGCAAATTTCTCTTGTAATAAATTTAAAGGGATTGTATAGTTCAGGGATATTCCTGAACTAAAACTAAGACAGTAATTTGACAGGCATAAGTTTTGGGCATTGGAATATCATATTTGAAATGAGGATTGTTCTAGAAATCATATAAAGAAATAAAAAAACTAAGACTTATGTTGTATTACATTTAAAATCTTTTTTAAAAATGAAATACAAATGAAACAATGTCAATTGAGAATTTCAAATATTGCTCAAAAACAAGAGGCTTTATGGATCCTTTCCTGATTACTTGAAAAATTATTGCCTGTTAAAGATGAAGGACCAGACTTCCTTATTCAAAAATGTGTGCTGTTTATCTTAATTTTGGCATACCTGATAAGAACTTCCTCTAGAGCCAGGAAACTTTGCAAGTATTAAATATTCTGAAAGGAGGAGGTGAAGGAGGAAGTAACTGACCCAAGAGAAAAAGAGGAACAGGTTCTAAACCAGAAGCACATTTGAAGCTCAGCCAGAACAAGGGAGAGCCTAGCACACCAATCCTGAGGTAAGAAAGAACCTGTCTAAGGTGTTTGGATAGTGAAAAATGATGAGAAACAGGTTCACTTTAAACCGAGCAATGACTTTTTTTTTTATTTTATCCAATACTGTTTTTAGAAAAAAAAAAAAAAAGCTTCAGGTGGCCATAGGGGGAAACAAGATTACCTGCTGGGAGTGATGCTGATGTTTCTTTACATGCATATATGCTCATAGATCTGTGCCTAGAGTGTTTTTCTGTGTTTGCCTTGCTTCCCAATAGAGGGGCAGTATCTGGCTCATTAAATTCCAGTTTATCAACAATTTGTGACTTTTAAGACAAATGGATAATTATTAGGTAATCTGTTGAAACTGCTTTCCAAAATGAAAAGTCTTCTTTGAGCAGGATAAAATTAAAGGGATATGGATGTTGTTATATTTGAAAGGCTCTTGTTTGAAACATGTTTATCATTATAGGTCTGGGTTTATGTCTCACTGAGTTTTCCCCTATGAAGTTATTTTGAAGAAAGGGAAAAGCTCCCCGCTCCCTGTAAAAAATCTCCTTGCCTTTATCTCAATGAACACCTTGATATTAGGAATGTACTGGAATGTCTGCTCTGCATAGAACAGCACAGATGATAAAAATAAATCTCTTCTTTGAGATCGAAAGGTCAATTTATTACCTTATCTTTGGCTGCCAGCAGGACATTAGTTTTCTATCCCAACCCCTGACTCTATTTCTGTGGTAGGCCTGTACCTTTTTAAACGCTTGTTAATTCTGATCAATATTTGAAATTTGTTTTGTAAATTTATGTTAAATAGTCTGGCAAATAATTGCTTAAATAAATAATCATTTAAACCACAGAATATCTTAAGATAAGTTCTCATCAGTTTTGCAAAGGAAAAGGGATCCTAATGGTAAAAGACATTTCACAAACTTTTACCCTGAACACAAACCTCATTTCGGGCATCATAAAGGAGGAATCCTTACATGGTGATCATGTATTCTTAATCCCAATGTACTCCCCAGAATTTCAAGGATATCAAAAGGTATCCAGGAGTGGGGTTATGGCTCAGTGATAGAGCACTTGCATGAGGCACTGGGTTCAATCCCCAGCAGCACATAAAATAAAATATAATAAAGGTATTGTGTCCATGAACAACTATTTTTAAAAAATAAAGGTATCTAGACCTGGGGTTTTGATGCAGTATTTTATTAAATAAATTTTATATATTAATTATGTGTCATTTTCAATTTGGTTATAGGAAATATCATATGGAAGGTTTGCACATTGGTATATTCTAATCTGGAAATCAGAGCTAATCAAGAACTAATCAAGCTATACAAAAACAGTGATCAATGCAATTGATAACCATTTACATATATTTGCTAAGTGTAATATTTGGAAGAAAATTTTATTTGACTCCTGATTCAGTCACTACTTAGTTTTTAATGAAATTGCTTAACATTTTTAATCATTTGTTTTATGATATGTAAAATGAGGATAACAATAGTAACCACTTCAAATGGCAGTTGTAGAATTAAGTGATATAGTCTATATAAAATTATTTACAGGCTGATTCAAAATATGCTACTAATTAAATATGAGTGATTAGGAGATTCAATAAATTATGATAAATACCCCAACAAGGACTGTTAGAAATATTATGTGCAACTATTTCTACGTCTAGTCTGAAAATATATAGTAATAATATTTTCTTGATAAAATCATAATAGAATATTCAGCCTAGCTGAATGCTTCCTGTTTCTCTTCTTTGATATTTTAAAGCATCAGCAGAAAAAATTCTATATTTATCTTACTTGAATGAAAGTAACTCATTGAAAGATGTAAGAAAATTGATGATAAGATGGTTTGCAAAAGCTGGGTGCAGTGTCATAGGCCTGTAAGCCTAGAGGCTGAGGCAGGAGGATCACAAGTTTGAAGTCAGCCTCAGAAATTTAGCAAGACCCTATTTCAAAATAAAATAAATAAATACATTTTAAAAGGGCTAGGACATAGCTCAATTGTAGCATACTTGTTTAACATGTATAAGTTCCTAAGTTTGATTCCCCATACTACAAAATAAAAGGTTTTACTTCAAAGATCTCTTTTCATATTTAAGTATAAACTATATACCTTTTAGAAGACATATCTTGAGTCTTAAGCAATTAACCAACTAGATCCTGAATTTTCTAGTCATTTTTCATATTTAATTCTTCATTCATTAAATAGATTGAGCCAGATATGGTGGAGCACACCTGTAATCCCAGCAATTTGGGAGGCTGAGGCAGGAGGATAGCAAGTTCAAGACCAGGCTCAGCAACATAGCAAGAACCTGAGCAATTTAATGAGACCCTGTCTCAAAATAAAAAAGGGCTAGGGATATGGCTCTATGGTTAAGCACCCCCTGGATCCAATCCCCAGTACTCAAAATAAAAATAAATAAAATAAATAATAAAATAAAAAGGGCTGGGTAATTAGCACAGTGGTAAAGCACCCCCTGGGTTCAATTCCCAGTTCCATAAAAAATTAAAATAAATAAATAAATAGATTGAATGCTGTGTGTGTGTGTGCGCGCGCGCGCGCACTTTGTGTTATGTGTCTTATGAGCTATTGTATAAGTATAAAAAATCAATAAAAGATTAAAAATAATTTTAAACATCATCAATAATAAATTTACTGAATGAAAGAGAAAAAAAAATGAGCTGATCCCTACTCACCCTTAATGAAGTAGAAAGACACATAATTGTCTGTCATTTAGGTTATCTTGTTTCAACAGATTATTGACTCCTTAATGTGGGATCTCAGTGGAAAGACTGAATCAGGAAAGACAACCCCTGCCCACTTGAAAGAGGGATGAGCAGGCTTTGTAGAGAAGGTAGAGGTGATGGGAACGATCACACACATCCTCTTGTCCCGTTATCCTACCGCAGGTGAAACGTTGTCTTTCACTTGAAAGTCATTATCTTGATCATTAAAAATCATGTTGAAGTCTGGGTGGTTAAGCCACTCAGATTTGGGCAAGGATGGGTTCTTCAAACCTTCTCTCCCTCAACGACAGCTACTGGTATAGTGTATATTGCAACCAGGAACACACTACATGCTGGTCGTAATGTATTGGTAGATGTGATAGAGTTTTGATTATGCTACATGCTAACTATGCAATTAATGCATTTTTTTTAAATTTACAACAGGTTTCTGGATGGCAGATAATATAACCTTTGTTTACTTGAGTTTTCTACTGTGCTGTTATCTTCCACTCACTTCTGCTTCATTTTGTGATCCACTGATAGAAAAGAAAGTGGAGTGGATTAAAATCCCCCCTGATACAGTCCAATTGTATATTAATGACTGTAATGTGAACAGCATCCAATACACAGAAAGCCATCTTTCAAAACTAAGTCTACTCAATATCACCTCTAGGTGCATCAGGACTCTGCCAGATAATGTTCTCTCGGATCTGGAAAAAAAATGCCGAAGAAAGCTTCCAATCTCATTTTTGAACAGTACTAGTCTATACAGAATTACATCTGTCTGTACCTGTGAGTTTATTACTGACAACCCCAAGCCCCTGAACAACACTGTTTGTGCAGAAATGTTGAAAAGCTGTGGAAACACATCGGTGGCCATTTCTGTAGGCATTTCCCTTTTAGTACTCTTGGTGGTCTGTGGGATTGGGTGTGTTTGGCACTGGAAACACCGAAACAACACCAGATTTACCTTACCGAGGTTTTTGCAAAGGAGAAACAGCAGGAAAAAAGACTTAGCAAAAACGTTCTGCTTGAGTCCTCACATTGTTGGCTCTAGGCCTAAAATCTCAGCTGAAACCCAAAGCCACAGACCGTCTGTCAGGGGAACTAGGATGCAGGCCAACTACGAAAATGTGGAAATGGGGCCTCCCAAAGCTAACAAAGAAACTGACAAGGGACTCTACGAAAACACTCAGCAGATCAATTTCAGAGAGCACATGTATGGAAGTGAGACATCCTGTGACTACTATAACTTCCAGAAACCTGTTGCCTCTGAAGCTCAAGATGAGGATATCTACATTCTTCCTGACTCCTATTAGCTTTTCAAAACTACTGAGTTTCATTGTTGGAGGATAAAGTATACACGGGGACTTTGATGGTGCTGATGCGCTAATTGACCAAGTTCTTCTCATGAAATTCAGTGTCCACCCCATGGATCCTGTCTATGTGCATGATTGTAGGTTCACTCTAAATAACCTCTCTTCCCTCTTCTCCTGGGATTAAATCTCTACCATGTATATTGATTTTTCCTTCTAAATATTATCTGTTGTGTCTTTGCTTTGTTTCTACTTCCACTATCTTTTTCTGATTTAGGATTATTTTCACGGTCTCCTCCTGGGTCTTCCTGTCTCTACCCACTCAATCAATTGCACATGATGCTGCCAGATTTATCTACAGAAAATATTCCCACTGGCCGCATTATACCTTCGCTGAAAACCTCTTAATGCTGCTCTTTAAAAAAGACATAATGCTCATAATTCTAACTCCTGCATTCATAATTTTTTATGAAAAGTTTGTTCCCACTTACTTTTCCAACAACATCTCCTACTAACCCTAATTTTTCTGCATCCATCAGAATCATCTCAAAATCTGGCAAACTCATCTCCTCCATGGCTCTCTCTAGCCTGCCTCAGATTAGAACTTCTTCCACAAGTCTTCTGAGTAATCCCAAAGCTACATTTACCTTTTTATTTTCTAACATCCTATAGGTTTTGCTTCCTGCTCTATTCTTTTGGTATTAAAACATGAATATGAATGGTGAATGTGGTATTTTAGTACTTAAAGTCATATGAGAATATCTCAAATTCTCACTCAATAGAAGGGAACTGCTTCATGTTCGTATTTTAGTCCCATGATCATTATATGAGGCCCTAATTATTTGTTCACTTGACAAGAATTGAATTGTACATTTTGCCAAGTAGTTTTGAAAAGAACCTAATAAATCTATTCATCATTCATCTATCGAAGGAATATTCATTGAGTATCTTCTGTCTCCCTTTTATTGTACTATGCACATGAGGATGGAGATGAGAGGTTGTTACAATGGTAAAAAGATGTGAATCTTGCACACTACTGTCTAGTAGGAAATAAAAAACAATGAACAAATGACTACATTCATTATGATGCTATTATATCTTGTTTCTAAGTCTAAGCTTTCATATGCTGCCCTGAATTGCTTGACCTGGGACTCTGCAAACTACATTTATCTTTTGCCAGATGTATCCATATTAGGCTCTGCTGATGGGAGGAGTGTGACAAGAAAGACTGGAAGCAATAGGAAGCAAGAGGAACTTGAACTTCTGGTCCCCCTTGTCATTATACCAGTTGCTGTTACACCAGCATCACCAGTTGCTTACAGTTTCTAGTTTCTTCTAATATTTTAGAACCAGCTTCAATGCACCCTGCTGGAGGTATAGCACCAGCTGGTCAGCAGCCTGCCTTAGAGTCAGAGAACTAGCTCTCAGGCCTCCTGCAGGCTCCAGAGGTACCAGCAGGAGACAAGTGACATCTCAGTCTATTCTGAAAATGCCCAGTCCTGAGGGTGGTAATAACTTCTTTCGGCAGTTGCTAACTCTGCGGTACCTCAGTGTCCCCTTTTTGTTTATTTCACAAGTCCAGTACCTGTTTTGCAAAATCTCTCTGAATTCTGTTAGAAAAAAACTGGTAAGTTTTCTCTTTCTCCAAGTAAACCCTGAATGATAGTAGGTGCTTTGAATGAAAGAGGCATCCTATTATAGAGAGCAATGGAGTAGAATAGAGAAAAGGATTTAAATTTTAATCAGGTGGTCAAAGGAAGCCTGTTAGGAAACACTTAAGGTGAGACTTAAGGGTGAAAAGAAGCTATCCATCTCCACAGAGGTAAGTACGTGAGCAACATGTAGTAAAAAGAGCTTGGGGCGTGGAAAAATCTCTGGTGCTCTAGGACTTATGGAAAGCCATTGTGACTGCAGCTCTCTGGGGGAGGGTTGGAGCGGCACCTGATGGGTTAAAGGAATGAACAGCTTACCACGTGACTTTCTGTAAGTCTTGGCACACAGCGGGTGTAGATTTTGTCATAGGTGTCTTGATTTGGGGTTCAACTCTATAATAGGGGCAACTGGAGTACTAAAGGGCTTTAAGCATAGCAATGGCATGAAAGCATTTGAATTTTTGAAGAGCTACTGGGCTGAGGAAGAACTGCAAAGGCAAAGTGAATGTGGGTGGGATTGTTAAGGAGCTTTTAGATTTCGCTTAGAAAGGAGCATCTAGCTGCAGGGCAAATGAAGACATTGACAGTATTGCCTGCCCTCTTCTTCAGAGGAACCTCTGATCCCTAAGAATAATGGTTGATACTATGAAATATATGACTTACTGACACTTATCCATCATAGTTAATTATCTAAAATGTCTAATGACAAAATTTCAACAAACAGATTTAATTGAATTTTATTTAGCATTAATTAATCTGGCAATATCCCATCTAAAAATTTAGACAAGCACTCACCTGGCATGGCATAGCTGTCCATTTTCATGAAGTAATTTGAGCAGAAATGAGGAAGAACCACGATAGGAAAAGGATTGGTTCACACCAGGAATCTTCAGGTTTCTTTCCATGGAAGGGTTAATGCAGAGGGGACTTTCACCTCATGCTGCCCAACAACTGCCTCTTTGGGGCTTTGGTTATCATGCCTCTCCAGATGTCTCAGAAGCCCAGATGAACATCTTAGTTTCAGCTCTGTGATGTGGAACTTTACCAGTTTTATGTTTTTAAACTGGTAAAGTTTTAAAGAAAACTGTACCAGTTTTCTGGGGCCTAGGGCAGGAGCCATGTCCAAATCTATGACCTCCCATAATTTTATTTGACAATGGGATGAGTGGTTTATCTTTGAGTATTCTCTTTGACCAGAAGAGATGATAAAAATCTGTGTAAAAGAAGTACTTGCTCAATGATCCTTTGCCTAGTTTTTAACCTTGACTTGCTTTAAAAATTAATTGTAAGTTCTTTATCAAATGAAAACCTCTCCACTAGCAGTCCTTGACGTAGGGGCAGGACAAGGGAAAAAGAGGAAATTGTCATTAAGTGTTCACATGCCTTCCTTCATTCCTTCTCCTCTTTCCTATTTCCTCTTTCTCTCTCATGTCTCCTCCCACCAGTTCTCCTCTTCCTCCCATCTATCTTCCTCTGCCTCTTTCACTCTTTTTCAACTCTCTGTCACCTATTAGCGTCCTTAATTACATTTCTCCACCTTAAAATCTTGAAAGTTGAATTTTTCCATTACAGATAAAGTTTATTAAAGACTGTCTATATCTCCTGAGGACAGCAGTTTGTAGTTGTCTCATAATGTTCGTAAAAGTAGCCAGATGTGCCACAATTAACAAAGGAAGGATGCTGGGGTTGGGAAAGGAAACAGCAGCATCAAATCTACCCAGTGTGATTTTGCTATGTGCTCACAGAAATGTAGGTGTGCTCACATCCTGTGACTTACGGCTAGTATCTGTTAGAGTCTGTGGCCAATGTCCCGTGACAGTAAGTACATGGCTTCTTGACCTTACTTTCAGCCTGCTCTTGAAATTTTACTGCAGTCTGCCTTCGGCCTCACTTCCCAGATGATTATTGATCTGTACAGCAAATGGAACTGTGCTTATTCCACAGAAAGCTTTGTTTTCAAACGTCCCAGTTACTGCTCAAGCCAGGTAGAATGAGCGCAGGGATGAAGAGCACTCAGGCAGTGGGAAGGTTGAGACATTGGGCTCCTTGGAAGAGACATAAAAGAAAGAAATCTAAAAGGAGAATATGATGCCTGCACACAGATTATTGTGGACTGTGTTATGTTTGTGTCTCTTTGAAATAGTTATGCTAATACCGTAGGTCCAATATCATGGTACTTGGTGAGGGATACTTAGGTTTAAATGAGATCATGAGAATGGGCTCCTCCGGATGGAATTGGTGTTCTTATAAGAAGAGAACATTTTAGATGTGCTCTCTCTCTCCCCCCCTTCACCATGTGAAGATATGAGTGCGAGTCAGCAAGCCAGGAAGAGGGCTTAGAACCAAGTCTACCAACACCTTGATCTTGAAATTCTTAGCTTACCAAACTGTGAGAAATAAATGCTTGCTTTAACCATCTGTTCTATAGGATTTTGTTATAGCAGAATGAAAAGTTACATCTATTTATTTATTTTTTGGTACCAGGGATTGAATCTGGTGGTGCTTAACCACTGAGCCAGATCCCCAGCCCTTTTTTATATTTTACTTAGAGACAGGGTCTTGCTGAGTTGTTTAGGGCCTTGCCAATTTGCTGAGGCTGGCTTTGAACTCATGATCTTCCTCCCTCAGTCTTCTGAGCCACTGGGATTACAGAGGTAGGCCACCACGCCCAGCCAAGCAGTTACTTTTAAAACTGTTATTCTAAGACATAATTATTTGGGTTAAATTTGAGTGGTGATGGTCCCCAGTAGCTAAGTGCTAACCTTATGTGATCACCCTGTGGCACGTACTTATTTTCCCTCTTCTCTTAAGGTCATTTGAAGCATCCTTTTCTCTTGCACACCATCAGTGCAGTGGTTCCATATTATCTAGCCTCAGTTCCCAGCAGTTTTTCCTAGGTACTCTGGACATTTTTACATAAACGTTCCTGCTTCAATGTCCTCTTGAATCACATGATATAGATAGCTCAGCACCTACTGCTTTATTCTATGTGGTGTCCTTCAGTCATTTGAAATTCAACATGAGCCAGACTAGTGAATTGAGATCTCACTCAGAAATAGATGTGGAAATAGATAGAATATAAGACTCGGAGATGAAGGGAAGGTTCCATTGCATAAGTTACTTGCTAATAATTTAAAAATCTGATAGCTTCAAAATATCATGGCATCAGAATACTATGTACAAAGAGGCTGTGTTTTCAATATCAGTGCCTGGTTCAAACAAATAAGATTTATCCTTGAGGTCCCCAGTCCCTGATTCCATGTAGTTCTACATTTGGAAAATTGTGTATCTCCTGCTCGGGCCTTCCTTTGAGTGATGATCTCTGAAACACAAGACTGTATATGTAGTAGCAAAAAGCTAAGGGCCTGTTAGGTGACTGGCTAGAGGACTTGACTGAAAACTACAGATGCAGAGCAGCAGATTAGTAGTCCCCTTATTTTACCTTATTTACACTTTTGTTTACTGCTTATTGTAAAATCTTGGAACAGCTGTATGATTTGGACTTAAAAACTGATTTTTAACAGAATAAATTGTGTGGAAAAGAGCCAGACCAGGGATTATAGAATTTGTCCACTTTGAGTGAATGGATATTCACTTATATTCCTCTGAAAGATAGGAAGATATAACTTGAATGAAATATAACCTGAATGAAAAGCATTTTCTGGTACTCCTGAAAAGGGATAGACAGGAGGTTACAGAACATCAAGATCAGGAATATAACAAGTGGCTTTAATGACCAAATAGGATAAAGTGATTTTAGCATGCAACAAATATTTATCAAATGCCTATAACATATCGAGTACTGGGAGGGCTCAGGGAATTCAATAGTGGAGAAGGTCAGAGAAATAGACCCTGTATCAGTAGTCAGAGAGATCATCTACAGAGGAGTTCTGATACTTACAGATATAGTCTAATATTTACAGAAACTACTAAAATGTATTCCTGATAATAGTATGATAGAAACACAGTATAAAGGAAGATCAAAGCTAGAGATGTGGTTAGGAAAGCTTTCCTGCAGAACATGCCACATAAACTGAGACCTGGATATCAATTAGGAGACAGCCAAGCAGATGTCAAGGGAGTAGTATTCCAAAAACAGGTTAACATTCGAGCACCCAGAGTATAGCTAGAGTTTGAGATGAATCTAGATTCTCCACTTCTCAAAGCAGGTGGGGTCTGCATCAGCTTCAGGCCTCTGTAGCCAAGAGAGCCTGTTGTAATGTTAGCAGCTAATCAAGGTAGGGGATGCCTGCTGGCACTGGCTTTAAAGGTTGCAGCTGGCAAAGCCCAATTCTTCTCCACTACCGTGAATGGTGTGTTGTAGCTCTTAATGGCAGGCTATGGCCTCCAGTGTTGCAGCAGACCTCAGAAGCTCACAACCAACTTCTTTCCAGGTTCTTGTCTCATGAATTTGAAGAAT